CACCTGCATGGCCCCCACCTTTGGGCCATTGTGAATAGTGCTGCTGTGAACACAGGTGTGCAGGTAACTGAGGTTCTGCTTTCGGTCCTTTTGAGTAGATACCCAGAAGTGGGATCGCTGGACTCACCCAGAGACACAGAGATGGAAAGAAACAGATAGAGACAGACAGACAGGAAGAGAGAGAGATGAAATAGATAGATTGATGGAGAGAGCCAGAGAGAGAGAGACAGGGAGAGACTGACAGAAGGTTGCTGAGCTGGTCTGAGAGATGGAGGGAGGGCCCCTGCTTGCTCTGGGCTGCAGGCACTGAACCAGCATGCCTTGCTCCAAATCCAGTTAGGCAGCCTGGCTGGAAGGTGCTGGGATTTCCAGCTTCCTCACTGGCTGGTCAAACTATATAAAAGCCTCCGCAGGCCCCCGGGGGTTAGGGGGTGGGGTTCCCAACTCGAATATATCATGTGGTGACAAGTCGTTTGGCCCAAAGAAAGCAGCCAGCTAGTTCTCACATCAGCACCATGTTGTCCAGTGTGAACTATCTTGTGGTTGAGGTTGGTTTGGGTGGTTTTTAGGGGAAGTGTAAGTGGCTCTGGCTCAAGAGATGTGCTCAGGCCTCTGTGGGCGTATGGGCCTGTGCATCTGGACACGTGTGGTGTGAATGTGTGTGCGCGTTGCTGTTTGTGGCTCAGAATGAAGGACAGGTTTTGACTCCACAACCCTCACCAACATGGGCACTGACAGGTCCCATTTGTATAGCAGTGCCTTCCTGTCTTCTCCATGTTGATGCCCTCATCTGCACACCCCAACCCCAGGGGATGAGACAGTTTTATAGAGGAAAAAACAGCAGCTTACAGAGGTCCCTCCACGGCACAAGCTGGGACATGGTAGCCAGGACTTGTACTCAGCCTCTAGGAGCAGAGCCCTCTGCTCTTTCCTCTACATGCTGCAGGGACATCCTGCCAGGCACTCCCCTCAGAAATAAGAGGGTACAAATCTGGAATCCAAAGTCTTATCTGAGACCTGGCGGGGGAGAAACAAAAACAAAAAAACACCTCCACAAATACTGCTGTGCCTACTGCCACCTAGTGGCAGCATACAATAATTGCAGGGAAACTTTACACCCAAATGGGCACAGGCCTGCAGGTATGGAGATGACCCCTGAGCAGACTTCAAATCCGATGAGGCAGAAGGTACTGGAGGCCAGGCTGAAGTGGAGGTGGCAGGAAGGGAGTGGGCTTTGCTCCGTGCCCAGCCATGTGCCAGGTGCTCACTGTCCAGATCCTCTCTAATCCTGCACAAAATGAGGCCTTGAAGCTGGAGAGAGGGAGTGAGGAAGGAGGGGCCAGCTGGTGTGTATTTTTGGATTGCTTCTCAGAGATCTCCTCCTCCTCCTCCTCTGACACCATGACAACCAGGCTGCAGTTGGGGGAGCTGCCTGTGAGCTGGGCTGGGTTGAGGGGGTGGTGGGCTGAGGGTAGGGACCTCTGCTCTCCCTCTCGGAGCCTCAGTTTTGGCATCTAGAATATGGGCACGACAACCCAGTTGCTGGCTCCTGTCAACCCAGGTGTTCCAGGAAGCAGAGGCCCAGGCTGGACTCATTAGGGGGAAGGCCTGGGAGGTAAGGGCAGGACTGGGGAGTGCCCTGCATCATCCTGCAGCAAGGCCGCCAGGAGTTCCCGAGCCACGTAGCCTGCACTTCCCACCAAGCAGCCTGACCTGGTGTGCCCACTGCACTGTCACTGCCAAGTAGCCCCCCAGAGAAGCATGAGACAGGGCCGAGGCAGACACAGGGATGGATCTCCCTGTGAGCCCTGCAGCGAGAGGTCTAAGGGATCTCCCCTGCTGGGGAACAGGGCTCAGCAATTCCCAGAACCCGGTCAAAGCCCCAAAAGGAGGGGCAAGGAACGGTCTATTTCCTGGGGCTGCTGCTCCGATGACCACAGACTGGCCTAAACAAACAGAACATGTGCTCTCCCCGTTCTGGGGCCAGAATCTGAAATCAGGGTGTCTGGGGCTGTGCTCCCTCCCAGGGCTCTAGGAGAGGGTCCTTCCTGCCTCTTCAGCTTCTGGGGGCTCCTGGCCACATCCCTTCAATCTTCACATGGCCCCACCCCCTTGTTCAGGTGCCTTTGCTCCTGTGTTCATGTGGCCCCGCCCCCCTAAGACCTTGCATGGTCTCTGTTTCCAGGTGCCACCTCCCTGGTTGGCTGGCTGCCCTCTGCTCTCACACCTGTCAACAGTCCCTCTGCCAAAGTCCTTCCAGAAAATCGTTTGCGCGTGCCATCTCTCTCCTGCTGGGACTGTGACAGCTGGGATTGAAAAGGAGATAAGAGAGCAGTGGCCTGTCCAGAGTCCATGCAAGGGGTCCACAGGGGCCTGTGCAGTCCCTGGAAGCCTGGGAGAGGGAAGGGTGGTGAGGCGGGGATGCTGATTAGGGAGCAGAATGCCCTCAGGGCAAGTGGGGCACACACACAATCACCCCACATTCCTGCGAGGAGCAGCTGTGGCCCATTGTACAGGTGAAGCTACTGCAGCACAGAGAGGGTGAGCGACTTCCTCAAGGGCACACAGTGGTAAAAGGGCAGAGCTAAAAATGGAACCCTGGGCTGCCCACAGCCTGTGTCTCCTTTACCTGTGACCTCTGGGTAAGTGGCCCCTCACCCTGTGGCCATTTACTCTGATGGGCTTCACCCTTCCCCCCACCGCCCTCCTGTACCCCTAGTGGACAGGGGTCTTGTCATTGCACCAGTGCCTCTGGGCAGCTGCTCTCCTTGTCCTGCGGTCCCTCCCAGCTGGTAATCTTGGCGGAGTCCCGCTGCGTGGGGGCGAGGGCCTTGTGCAAAGAATGCCCAGCCTCCCTTCACCCCACCGCCTGTCTCACTTAATGCTTAACCTTTAAGTGCTTTGGAGACATTGTCTTTGAGCCAAAGCAATTGGACTCACTGGTGTCTAGAACTGTGCTGTCCAACATGGTGGGCAGGTGGTTACTGGGCCTGTGAAATGCAGCCCGTCTGAACTGAGATGATTGGTGAGTGGAACACACATGCAACTTCAGAGACTGGGCACAAGAAAAAGAGTGCAAAGTATCTCATTAATGATGTGTATACAGATGACATGCTGGCATGACATGTATGTATGCAATTAAATAAAACACAATTAAGACGAATTTCACCTGTTTCTTTGTAAAATGTGGCTATTAGAAAATTTCAAATGACACACTAGTATGTGGCTTGTATATTTCTATTGGACAGTGTTGTACTAAAACATCAAAGCTAGGAGCGACTTCTGATCCCAGCTCTCCTTTCATGAGTGAAGAGTGACAGCGGTTAGTCATTCTTGAGTAAGTTTTGCAGGCCTACAAACTGTGCCTTAGCACTGACAAGTGATCTCATTGCCTCTTGTGAGGCAGGGACAATGGTTATGCCCATTTTAGAGATGAGGCCTCCTGAGGGGAAGCAGCTTGTCCAGTGCTACGTAGCCTGTAACGCGGGTGCTCTGCGTAGCTTCAACTCCTGTGGGTATTGGAACGCACAAATACTTCCCAAAACATAGATGCCCTGGGCGTCTCCTAGGCTTTCTCTCACTGAATCCATTCTCGGTAGCCACTGTACAATGGATTCCCTTCTCAACTATCTTCGCCCCCAACTGTGATCTCATTTTCTCTTTGAAAAGAACGTATTCCCAAAGTAAAGGAAAAAATCATTCCCTTGGAGTAGGGACTTTTACGATTACTGCAAAATCGATTTTCTTAACTACCAAAGGCGAAGGCGAGTGGCAAAATGTCAAGCGGAATGACGGAAGGCGAGTTTCGCTTCTGCCCGCAGTGGCATCTTGTCATGGCAACACGAGCACGCGCCCACCCACACGCGCGTTCCCACACAGAGCAAATCCCTCTTCCCGGACTCTGCGGTTGCAGTGCGGTGACATCTCAGACCTGGTCTCCAAAGTTCATTGAAAGGTGACGGCAACACGTGGGCAGAAACTGTAGGGTTGGTGTATGTCCTTTTAAAGGACAACATTGGGAACCAGCATGCCAACTCAGCAGGTTTCTCCTGCAGCTGAGAGTGGATTGTTTCGCCGCAGGGGAGTGTCAGACAATCCTGCCGGTTGGTACTGAGAGGACGTGTTGTACAAAAAGGACGTCGCACTTAGTTCATTTCCGGAGAGGTACCCGAGAACTGAGAGCAGATGAGGGAAAGGCAGCTCATTCTTCCCATCTCGTGCTAACCCTCCGACATAGGCACTGAGTGGAACAGAGAACAAAACTGCCCCTAAGTATTTCAATTGCTTCTCTATCTCTCTGTGTTTTGACAAGCGTATAAAATTGAATTTGTGTCCGTTACATAAACACACATTACCTCCCAGCCCCTCTGGTAAATTATGTGGGCTTCTTATGGGCCTGTCATGCATGAAGGTGCTCCAGGAAGGTGCTTCCGCGTCAGTAGGGTGTGCAGCATGTGTCTCTGATGGGCTTGCAAACTCATGAGTCTATTCACTACTCTCAGAAGAGTGTAGTGTCCCAGATGCTGGCCCAGGTACTGAGGGGTCAGAGATGAATTAAGAGACCATCTCCATCCTTCAGCCGCTCAGAAATATTAAAGGGTTTGTTCATTTTTAAAAACAAATTGCTCTAAGCATTATGGGTATTGTCCCTAAGGGGTCGCTGTCTAGCTTACATTTTATGTTATTGCCACTATTATCATTATTATTAGGAGGAGGAGGAGGCAGAGAGGAAGGATGTTTGAGCGTCAGAGAAGGCACGGCACACGCATTGTGGGGACTCCTGTGGAAAAGAGTTAGAGACCCGAATGGCAAACGGTTGCTTTTTGCGTTTGAAAGCATTTCTGTTTTAAACTGCGTGGAACGAGTGCAGGCCAGAGGACTCACCTGTTAATGAACTAGTGTCACTCTTATATCGGAATCCTGCTCTTTGAGTAGTTTTGCTGTGTAAATTTCCAGAAGTTTAAAAACGTCGATCTTGTCCAATTTTCTCATTTCTTTAGGTTATCAAATGAAGCTTAGAAGGAGGGCTATCAAGTTTCCGGTTTATTCCCCAGGTAATTGTTTACCTTAAAAAAATTTTTGGCTTCATTCTCCCATTAAGATCTTTATATTTTCCTTTGTTTCTAAAAGCACATTGGCTGACTCGTTTCAAAGGCGCCTCTGTGTTCTCAGTCTGGAGTTTATTATGTTTGCTGGTGCCGACATGAGAGGATCTACATCAACTTTGTACCTTCTGTTTTCTCTCCTCAAGGTACTTTATGGCCCAGACTGCCTTCTGGATCAGGAAGATACTGGAAGCTGTAAAACGCACAAAGCCAGGCTTTGTTGTCGCGTGAGCGTGTCCAAGGACCCTGGCCCTGAGTGTTGCCACCACGTGGCCCTGTCACGTGCTCCTCTGTTTTCCCCACTCCTCTTTCCGGGTCCATCCCTGGAGAGAGGATGGAAGAAGCCGGAGTGAAACCTGGCCGCCTGGGCCAGCTGCCCATGCACGGAGGTGAGAGGCCGTGCTTCTCTGGGCCTGTCTGGAGTGTGTGGGACTCACTCTCTGCTTTAGCGGGTTTGTCTCAGGCCACACCTGTTGCTGTGCGCCTTGAGGGCTTGGCCCTGGGCATGACCGTGAGGACAGCCCAGTTCGCCTTTGGGGCCAGGCTGCTCCATTTCCCAGGGCTCTGAGCTGGGTGTGGTCACGTCACAGTCTTTTGTCTCCTCCACACAGCTGGTACTCCCGAATAGCTGTTTTATCCATGCCCAGGACTCCTTTTCATTCAAAAATATCTTTAAAACATTTGGAAGAAGGCATATTGCTTCTTTCTGATTACCAAGTAAGACATACTCAATGTAGAATATTTGAGAAACACTGGCGCGTGTAAGTAAAAACAAAACAAGTATGATCTATGATTGTGTCACCCAGAGACAACCACCGCTAATGTTTTGTGGAATTCCACATAGAGTTTTAATCCTGTGCCACAGGCATTTCTGCTCTAGAGATGCTCGGAAATGTGCTGGCAGGCCTTCTGCTTTCTCTCTTTATAATATGTTGTATTTTCCCATATCATCTAATGGTCTATGAGGCCATGCTTGGGTACGTTTGTGTGTGAGCATACAGGTGTACACAATGCTTTCTGGCGATTTCTTCCATAATTTAAAGCCTCCATTAGACAGACAACTGTATAGGATTCCTGGCTAACATTCGTCTTCACTTGTGGTAGCCATGGAGCCCCCACAAATTGTAGATTGTGATGTTTTACTGCTTACTCTGTGGCTTCTCCATGCCTAATTTCATTGTCATCCCAGTTTATTTTTTCATCAGAGTTTACAAATTAAACAATGCAGTCCTTATAGGAAAAGTGACAGTCACCTGCCTATCTTCTCACCACCAAGAATCAGTGGTCTCCAGAGAACAGAATCATTGTTTTTAGTTCACCTATGGAGACTGTTTCATTTGCAAATGACAGAAAAAATTGTCTGAATTGGTTAGAAATAGGTTTATGGAATATAATGAAAAATACAAATTCACAGCAGCTCACACATTTATCATTTATTTTCCCAGGTGAAAGAAGCCTGGAGGTACTCAGTCCATCTTGGCTTTGGAAGCTCCATGCTCATCAGGGACCAGGCTTTGCTATTTCCCTACTCCTTGTGGCCTTCATTTTAAATGTCCACAGGTTGATTCTAGAAGTCTAAAACAGAAAACAACACTTAAATCATTATGACTGTGTAAATATTGTCCCTGAAGTCCCAAATAGTATGCTAGGTTCTATTTCCTTGCCAGGGGGTCAAAGAAACAGGTCTGTGCCATTCAAGTTCAAATCCTTCTGTTTTGAAACACCACCAAACACCTTTGCCATTTCTGTAAATTTTCTAAGATCTTACAGAAGCTAATTCACCTCTTTCCCCCGCCCCCAGCCCCCACCCCCTGCAGAGATCTCTCTTCCATGGTCATGGAGGCCGTGTTAGACCAAGTACTCCCCCACACACAGCGGCATGGATATCTTACAGCCAAGAGGTAGAGCTGGAGCTCAGAAAAGAATTCTGGGCTGGAGTGCAAAATTTGAGAGTTGTTGGCATACAAATGATAATTGGAGCAAGCATTGTGGATGAAATAGTGTGGGACCTATAGAGAGGGAAAGAAAAGGAAGGGCTTGACATTTAAGTGTTGGCCTGAGAAGGAGCTGGCACGGGACTGAGCTTTTCAAATCTCAGCACCATCGGAGAATCAATGAGCTGGGGGTAGCAGAGGTGATGTTGAACGTTGCACCTGGAACAGAGGTTCTTGCTTTGCGTTCCTGGCAGATGGCGCCCAGGCTGTGCTTTGGTACCTACAGTGCCAGATGGCTCCAAATGTTGACAGTCTTACACCAACCTGAATTGTCTCTCTATGATATCCTGGACCTGTTCTGCTTTAACAGAGTGAGATGATAGCAGAAATCCAGCCTGATTTTATTGTTTTCTCTGCATAATAGCTCTCAAAATAGTATGAGATAATTAAGTGCCCAATAAAAGATGATCATCAGCCATTCATGTTGTTTATACATTATTGTTAATGATTTTTATTTCATGATTGATCAAAGCAAAGATTTTAAAGTCAGACAGGCTGAGTTGTAATTTTGGTTCTAGCCCTGTTTAGTCAAGTCATGTCATCTGAACATCAAGTTCCTTAACCTTCCTTAGCACAGTGACTAGCAAATAGTATGTGTTCAATAAATGTGTTATTCTATATAATAAAAGGCTAATAATGCAAATTGTCCCCTCGACTGGGAGTTCGACCAGAGGGCGGGGCTGGCCAGCCAACCACCCATGGCCTCTCCCCGCAGCCAGCCTGCCCTTTCAACCCCAATTGGGGCAGGCTGGCCAGACTGCACCCATGCATGAATTCATGCACTGGGCCTCTAGTGTAATAATAAATGACAATAAAGTAATAAATGCCATGAGCTCCATTTGCCACCTATGCTTACCCTATCAAGTTTCACAATGTATTGAGGTTATCTGTGTCCATCCCTATGCCCTCTAGTTGGCTCTGTGTGCTTTGATAAAAAGGGGTCCATTTTTTCATTCATCATATTCCCCATGGTTGAACACAGGGCCTGTCCATAGAAAACTAGTAAAATGTTTGTGAGATGATATATGCCAGCTCCCTAGCTACCCAGGTTGCCCTTCTTTAAGCTTGAAATAAAGGTCACATCATTCACTAACCATTGTATTGTATCATTAGGAGGCCCCAAGGGATCCCACATATGCTCCCGCAATCCAAACTTGTCAGCCATACTCACTGTGTCCCTCTCCACTCTGACCACCTCCATTGCCGTCAATGCTGCTAGGTGACAGGTCACTGCTACCATTACCCATCATGAGATCACCAATGTCTGTTCCAGGGAATCTGGCTCTGAATGAACTGCCTCTCTAACATGGTCTCCTCCTGCTTCATTAGTTGGGCCCTGAACACAGAGTCTTGACTTGTGCCCAGCCTTTCACAGATCCTTTACAAACACTCCTGTTGGTTTGCACTTCTGACCCCTTCTCTCTATAGCTCAAAGCAGGCCAAGGAATCTGGAGAGTGAAAGGCCATTCCATATCTGCTTACTTTCCTCTTCTTCCCACTGCAGCTTCCGCTATGATTAGAGCCTCATCTCCTAGTTACAGGACAAAAACTTTCAGGTTTGTGAATGGGACAAAATGATGGAGGGCAGGGAAGGAGGGTCAGTGTGCAGGATGAAGGGACTTGTTCAGGCTGGCCCCAGCCAGTCAAAATTGTCCCATCAAATAGAATATTTATAACTAGAGGCCCGGTGCACAAAATTCATGCATGGGTAGGGTCCCTAGACCTGGCCAATGATCAAGGCTGATCGGGGCCTTCCTTCTGGCTGTCAGTCAGGGCCTTCCTTTGTTCCATGCTGCCCCCCTGGTGGTCAGCGCATGTCATAGTGAGCAATCGAACTCCCGGTCTCCTGGTTGAACTCCCGAGGGGACACTTTGCATGTTAGCCATACACACACACACACACACACACACACACACACATATATATATATTCCTCAAATAACCTTGTCTGTATTAAAATTCAGTTGTGCCATAAACTGGAAGTGGTAGTGGTTACACAACATTTTTCAAAGCTCATAGTACTGCAACCCCAAACCCAATGAATTTTGCTACATACAAATTTAAAAATAAATTGTAAAATTTCTGTTGTGCCCAAGTTTTGTCTGGCAGGTCACACTCGTGATGTCTATCTCATCGATTCAGCTGCTCTTGGAAGACTTTGTTTTCTAGTTTTTCTTCCTGATAGCCTAAATATCCATTTACGTGATTTGTATTGATAATAAAACATGAATTAGTTAACGGCCTTTTTAAACAGAAATTGATCAAACCCAACAATATCAGGAAGACTAGAGGACAAAGAACAGCTAAGCACACACACAAAGGACCAGGAGCCTCTTATCTGGACTGCGATAACTCCGGTTGGCTGCCCTTTATCTGCCTCTATTCTCTTCGGCTTAAGGAGGTCGGCTTTTCAGTGTTCAAACAGCAGGTCCATGCAGACTTTGCCTCACAGCAAGTTACTAAGAACACCTGTCTTGAACTTGCGGTCTCAGACTCTCTTGCTCAAATCAGGTTAATTCCCTTTGGAATAGACGGACTACCCGGCGGATGTTTCCTAGTTTAGAGGCAGCCTGAGCGTCTCCTGCTCTGCCTCATCCACCTGATGTCACTGCATCGGGACCACCTGTTCCGTTTCACAGCCCCTCCTGCTCACGAGTCTTTTTCTCCTGAAGCTACATCCTCTCATAGAAGTGATTGGTCTTTCATCCACAGGGATGTGGGGTCCCTTGGTTACTGGGTACCTCTGACCCCCTGGAAAGCACAGAAGCTCTGAAAGCAAATCCAATGGCACTGTTCATAGTTCCATCCATTCCACTCTCACCAAGGCAGTGTCCACTCTCAGCCAGGATCTTTCTGAAGCGCAGCGTCTCTTACCTCTAGGAGCTTAGGTTTCACTGGAGAGTCAGAGAGTAAACAAGTGAAGAGCACATCACTGAACTAGTCACAGAGTAAGATCAGGACCACAAGTGACATGAACAGAGTGCTAGGACAGAGAGTAATGGGATGGGGGGTGAGTGGTCAAGAGGAGACCTCTCTGTAAAAAAAGATGTTTAGGCTGAACCAGGGGAGTAGCATTGCAGGTCTATAAAACAGCAAATGCAGAAGTCCTGAGGCCAGAAATGGCTGTGCAGGACCCAGCATGGCCATAGCCCTGCACGGCCAGAGCATAGCTGGACAAGTGTGGTGAGCTGGGCCAGGAGCGGAAGCAGAGTCCAGGCTCCCTGGCGGCCAAATTGAGGAGTCTGAGCAAAAAGCCTTGCTCATCAGCTCTGATTTGGGTTTGGTGGAGAGGAGATAATCATACAGGGATTGTGGGGAAATAAGAATAAACAGGGCCCTCTATGGGAGAGTTGACAACAAATTGCAAAGGCTTCTCCACTCACCACTTTTGTTAGAAGTTGTTTCCTGAAATAGAATGATTGTCTGTAAGGTAAACAAAGGACTTTTATAAATGATACAAGTGCTCATGGATGCCACTGCCTCTTGTTCTAGGGTTTTATTTATTCTGTGGCGTTTATTACAATGAAGCCAGCCACCCTGGCCTCATTACGGGAAAGGTATTCACAGTTCAGTTCACACGCAGCTGCATTAAAACTCTTTTTCCTAGCCCAGCCAGCATGGCTCAGTGGTTGAGCTTTGACCTATGAATCAGGAGGTCATGATTCGGTTCCCAGTCAGGGCATGTGCCTGGGTTGCGGGCTCAATCCTCACTGGGGGACCTGCAGGAGGCAGCCAATCAATGATTCTCTCTCATCATTGTTTCTAGCCCTCTCTTTTCCTCTCTGAAATCAATAACAAAACATATATATATTTTTTAAAAAACCACTTCTTTTTTCTAACTGTTTAGAAATTTTCAGCAGCTCTTAAATGGATGGAAGGTGTGCAGACTATGTTTGTGAGTTCAAGAGAGGCATTGATTTATTTTAGTAATTTGGGCTTGGAATATAATTTCCATATTCTTTGTTCCTTTTTGTTCTCTCTCTCTCTCTCTCTCTCTCTCTCTCTCTCTCTCACACACACACACACACACACACACACACACACACACACGGCCCCTAAGACATCTGAAGCAAAATAAACTTAAAACAAGCTCTGAGACTTTTAAGATACCCCCAAGGTGTGGTGCTGCTAAGGCACTTCAGCTGTTACACAGCGAGTACCAACAGGACATTTAGTATTTGTACTAGTCAAGCAGGGTGTGGACAATCAGAAGAGAAAAATAGCATTTGTTTCTGCAGGCTGGACAAAATTAACAACAGAAAACCTGAACATGTTTCAAGTTTATAAATGAAATAATGGAATCAAACACTTCATCTCCTCCGAGTGGTGTTTCTGCTTGCTCGAGCTGAGGTTGGTACTGGAGGCTCCTTCCATGAGCCCCTGCCCTCCTCCTTCAGAGATTGAGGAAGACACCACACAGACCCACTCCCGGGTGCCCTCAGCCTCTCTCTCCCATCACCTTCCATGTGGGCTGAGCAGAGAAGGTCAACTCCTAACAGCCACTGCACTGTGTAACCACTGGTTCAACAGCTTCTTGGTGCCTCAGTTTCCCTGGCCTGTTCCAAGCCAGGAAGCTGGAACACCCTGGCATATTGAAGGGCTCTTAGTTGCTATTTATTATTTTCAGGCTGCCAACTTCCATTTGCACTTCCTAACAGCACCCCAAATTTATCGGGGAAATAAAGTCTCCTCATTATGTGTAGCCTTGGTGGAGGCACCTCCTCACTCTGATTCAGAATAGGGAGAGGAGGAGATGCAAAGCTAACGTTGGCCAGTCTGGTGTGTTCTCCAGAGATTTTGAACTTGGGTGAGTGACCCAAGGGGGGAGAACTGATGGAGGCCATTCATTGTGTCCAGAGGCATGGCCCACTGTCCCCGATAGAGTTTCTCTGTGAATTAGTTGCTGCACTTTCAACTTTTTGGTTCTGTGGGGCCTTTCTGATACGGGCTTCTCCAAGCCTGGATTCTAGAATCCCAGTTATTCTGTGAGCCCCTATTTAGTTCCATAATTTTTCTTTTGCTTGCTAGCTAGCGTCCTTTTCTGTGGCTTGCTATCAAAAGCCTTAATTGAGATGGTTCAATAACTACTCCTAGAATGAATACGTTTATGGAATGGAGACAGGCCTAGATAGTATCTCAGGCCTTTTGTGACTTCTTCCTTCTTTTGTCATAATCAGAGAATTGAATCTCACCTATAGATGGGTCTTCTTGGAATTTGGAAAAGCATCAAAGTTTTTTTTGGAGGCAAAGATGTTTTTATTTTTATTTTTAAATTTACCTTCACTGTTGAAAGTATTACAGAGGCAAAGATGTTTTTTAAAAATAAACTTAACTTGTAAGTTTATGCTTATTGTATGGTATTTAGAAAATACAGATCAGTGTAAAAAGAATATAAAAATATTCACAAACATGTTTCTGTGTAAGAAATACCAATTGTCAAAATCATGTTTAATACCCAAATGATATTTCATGGTAGGGCTAATATATTTAGCTAATTCCCTGTTGTTAAATGTTTGGGCTATTTCCAATTCTCTCTTACAAAAGATTCTGCAGTGAACATTCTCTTTGATAAGTCTTTGTGTACATAGGCTTCTTACCCTTAGGATACATTTTAAGAAGTAGAATTCTTGGGCCAAAGGGTTTTCATGTTAATAATAATCCAATTACAAAAGTATCCTTTTAAAAATAAAACTGATTAAAAACATAGCCCTTTTATTGTGGGACTCTTTTTTAGCAAAAGCAAAACAAACATAACACCAAGAAAAGTCTATTTCAAGGTATGCATCAAAGCAGCCTCATTTAAAACCACATCATATTAACTTAGGCGCTTCCATTAACCAGCTCCATTAAATAGAAACAGATCATGCAAGAAAATTTTATGAATAGTCCTGTCTGCTCAACACAACCAGACATAGCACTTGCTCTCTTCATCCATTTATTCACAAAACAGTTATTGAGTCCCTACTGTGTGCCTGGACTGGCTCAAGGGACTGGGCCATAGAAAAGAAGATAAGATGTGGTCTCCACCTTCGAGGCACTCACCACGCTGGGCCATGCAGACACATAAATGACTCAAACACCAAGCGTGGTGGTAACTGCTGCAGCACAGAGGTGAACACAGCGTCGTGGGAGCAGAGAGCCAAGAGCATTTCAACCTGTGCACCGACAGTCTTCTCCTCTCCTTTCTTCTCTTCTCTCCATTTGAAATGGAATATACCTGAGACAATGAAAAGTTCTGGGAAATCAAAGAAGGAAGAGATCTGGAACAGCTCCATGGAATCCGTGTGCGTTGAGGAGAGGGAGGACTGACAACATCTGGCGGGCATGCTGGAGAGGACACTGGTACAGACGAGAGAAGAAGAGGTGTTCCAGGAACAGATTGCTTGAAAACGCAAGATTTGGGTAGAGCAAGATGCTAAAAGTAAGGACTACCTTGGACTGCTCTTAATAACAAGATAAGACACTCATGTGTACCTCCAGCAGTAAAAGAGAGGCATTGTTCTAGCTAATGCTGCTGCGACAAATCACTTAATGGCTCAAAGTAACACATTTATTATGGCACAGCTTTCTAGATCAGAAGTCTGATGTGAGTCTCATTGCACTTAAATCAAAGTGTCTGCAGCGCTGCCTTCTTTTTTGAAGACTTTAGCTGAGACTCTGCTTCCTTGCCTTCCCCAGCTTCTAGACTAGAGACTGTTTGCCTCGTTTGGCTCAGGACCCCTTCTCCCATCCTCAAGGCCAGCAACAGCTGTTCAAGTCCATCTCACATCAGATCACTGTGGTGTCTCTCTCTTAGACTTTTAAGGACACTTTTAAGGGCCCACCTGTATAATCCAGGATAATCTCTCATTTTAAGGTCCTTTATTTGATCACACTTGCAAAGTCCCTTCTGCCCTGTGAGAGAACATATTCCCAGGTTCTTGGCATTAGGAGGTGGTTATCTTTGGGGAGGTGTTTTTTGTCTTCATGGCAGGGTTTTGGATCAAGAGTGACATCACTGGGACCTCCCCGAGGAAGAGCATGCTGACATCAGGAAGGAGGAAGGACTGGAAGGCAGAGACCAGTTAGCAGATCTTTTTGCTGATTCCAGAACAGATATGATTCCGTCCTGTGGGAAGAGGGAGGCAAGGACAGATGCCAGAGGTAGAGCTGGGACAGACTCCCCGGGAACTGGCAAGCGGTCCAGTGGAGAGCGAAGAGAAGGGGAACAGAGGCAGAGGCATCAAAGATGATTGTGAGGATAATGGTGTCGTGTTGTCAGATGCATTGGGTGTAGGAAAATAGCATAGCGATCAATTCAAGTTTGGATCTTAATATCTTTGTAGATAAATAATTTAATGTTTCCACTTTTAAATTTTGAATGGGGTATATAAAAGATTCAGGACATATTCATGCCAGGGAGAGAAGTCACAGGTGACTACCTGAATGGCAGGGAGTGAGTAGTGTTGAGACGGAGACAAAGCACAAAGGTGGTGAAGAAGAGGTGACAGGACGGGGACAGACTGAAATGGGAAGAGAGAGAAAGTAGCGAGTAAAATGGGGGCGAAATATAGACCATGAGGAGGACAGACATGGCAGAAGAAGTGGGGGGAAAGAGGCAGGAATATCAACAGAGAGAGAAGCTGAGAAGGGGACCTGCTCAGAGTTTTTGGCATGCTCAGTGTCAATTTCAAGTTCACTGGGGTTGTACTCACAATTGTAAGTTAGTTGTCTTTTAAGATTGTCTTGGGAGACTTATTTGCATGCAGAGCTTAGTTACTGTCACGACTTCTCTGTTTTGTCAAGCTCCCACGCAGACTCGGTGGTCCTGAGGGGGAGAATTCTCCGGCTAGCAGGCCTTTTGGCCCTCTCAACTGTCTCACCCAAGGAAGGTTCTTTCCCCCTCCCTTCCCAACATGCTTTAACTCTTGACCTGTGTTGACCCTGCAAGTTGAGGCCTTCCTCAGATGTGTCGAGGAAAAATGTTTTGCGTCCTGTCACAGTTCCTCGCAGACGTTACAAGCACTAGGTGACACCCGGGCAGGAGCCTTGGTCAGTCTCAACACAACTGCCAGCTCCCCATTTTACAGACAGGAGCACTGAGGCTCCGCTCGGGTCTAATAATGAGCTCAAGGTCACAAGTGGACAGAGCTGGGAGAAACGCTACCTCCAGATCCAGAAAGCAAATAGTGGATTAAGAAATATTGGCCGGATCACTTCCGGAGACTTCCGGATAACAAAGCATTGCCTCGGGAAAACTTGGGAGCCTTGCATCTAAGGGACAATGGAGCTCACTCTGAACCCTGCTCCCAAACGGACCCTGGCCCGGCAGGCAGGCAGGCAGGCAGAGGGAAGTAAGCTATTGAGGGGTAGGGTTTCTCCTGGCACGGGCACCGCAAGCGCTTTCGCCTTTCCTATTTATCTTACAGGAGAGGACATGGGCACTCAGAGATGTTCACCAACTTGCCCAAGGTCACCCAGGAGCCGGCAGTGAGCCCAGGACAGCGATCGTTCCAGGAAGGCGCGGGCCGGCCAGCCCCGGGGGGTGAGGTCCTTCCCGCCCGCGTCCGCGCCCACTCCCTGTGCGCCGGGCCGCGCCCCCGCCGCTCCCCGCGCCCGGTGGGGGCGACTGCGGGGACCGCCCAGGGGACCGACCGGGTTGGGGGCTGTTGAGTCCAAGGGGCCAGGCTCGACCGGCCGGGGAAGAAGACGATGCACGGCGCGCCCAGGTGAGCGCGAGTGGGGTCCTGCCGCCCGCAGCCCGGGGCCGCGCCTGCAGCCCGGCGGCCTCCCCGCGCGGGGGCTGGAGCCGGCACCCGAGGGGGCGGCGGGAGGCGCAGGCAGCGGCGGGGAGCGCGGCGGCAGCGGCGGCGGCGGCAGAAGCTCGGCTCGGCGGCTGGGGGTGGCCGCTCCAGTCCGCCCCGGCGCCCGGCTCCGTGGCCGCAGGCAGCGGGTAGGTGCGGCTGGTGCGCGGGGGTTAGGAGCCGGGAGCCCGCGTGTGCCGGTGGGGACGCGGCGGGGGCGGGGTGGCGGGGTGGCGGGACCCGGGGAGGGGCTGGGGGGCCCCGGACTCCAGCGCCCCGGCTTTGCCGCAGGGATGGGCTGCGCCGCGGCTCAGGTTGCAGGTGGGCTGGCTGCCTGGGCAGGACGCGTCTCCAGAGAGGGACCGCTGGAGGGTCGGGGCCAGTGCCCAGCACTTGTGTACGTAAGTACTAGTGAAACGGCGGTGTGCTCACCGGCTCTGGGAGGCTGTGTGTAAGGGTGTTGTGTGTGTGAATGAAAGAGAGAGAGAGAGAGACGGAGAGGGAGAGAGAGAGAGCATAGGCTGTGCATCTGTATCGTGTGTGTAACCAGGTACATGTGGACTATGGATGGTCCTGGAGGTGCAATGAGAGAGCGCACTCTAACTGTGTGAGTGTGTCTGTGACAGGAGACGCACGTCCTGAGTGCCCACCTGGCTGTGTGAGTGAGTGGCCCTGAGTGTGTGGGCACGCTGGCTGTGCTGCATGGAGCGTTCCCCGTCACTGCGGTTGTCTTTCACAGAATCCAAGCCCAATTTCAGATGCATTTCCCTTGGCTTGCTGCTGCTATTGGCTGCCTTGGGAAGTGGTGGCCCCTGGCAGAAGTGGGGCAGTCACAGGCACCGGCTGGCCTTCCTATAGACTTCAATGTTAAGGAAAAAAAAAATGTTGGCTTGGTTTTTCCTTTAGTCCATTAAAATGAATAAAAATGTCTTAGGATAACAGATTTGGCATGAACCAAAGGTGGCCTTTGATGGAAAGACACTGAGGCAAGTTTGCCCCCCTCGTCTTGACATTGCTGGGGTGACTCCCCAGGTCAGAAAGCTGTGGGTGACTCTGGGAGGGGGGGGTGTTTGCCTGGCCCCCTGTGTGGAACTTCGGCAGCAGTGATGGGGGACGAGTGGCTGTGTGCCGCTGTGAACACAGGTGTTAAAGGAAAAGGACACTGGTGATCGATGCGGTGCCCCGGACTCAAGGAAAAACTCGGGACAGGCCGCGAGTCCCGTGGAGTCCCTGAGTTCTAGGAAGTGAGGAGTGTGGGGGGAATTAGTGAAAAGCAAAGAGGTTGGCAGCACCCTCAAGTCATCTGTTAATCTTATCTTTATTTTTCCCATGCACCCCGATCCTAAATTAATTCTCGCTTGTGTTTGCATCATTTCCCCCCATGGGAAGCAGCTTTATTATAAACGTTATTATACAGCTGAGCAGGGTATCATTTCCCTGCAGCACATCAGAGCCGGCAGGAGCTGAGGACACTGGTGCTTTTGCTACCTCTGAGTTATCTGGAGTTGACTCCTGAAGCTGGTCCTTCCAGGGACCACAACTGCCTCATAGACAGCAAATTCAGTGTGTTTCTCCTACTCGAGTTCTGCTGGAACTCCCTGACACTGTGCATCCCCTCAGCTTCTTTCCCCCAAAACAGCACTTGAAACCCAACCTACGCGACCTGCTACCCCAAATCACCTCCTGATTTTCCCATGTGCTATTGAACCACCAGCATCCTCTGGTCACCTCACTGGGAACTGGTCACCTTTTTAGTTCCCCTCTTCCTTCATCAGTCATGGTCACTGTCTAATAGGCAGGTTTTATTCTTTTTCCCTCAGTACTCTTGCATCTTTTCTTTTCTTTCTTTCTTTCTTTTTTTTTTTTTTTTTTAACTTGTGCTGCCATCACCTCATCAGGTGAAACCCATATTCTGGGATTTCTGGAAATAGGAAATAGATTGTGATCATCGGGAATATATATATATATATATATATATATATATATATATATATATATATACTGTGATCATCAGGAAAAAATGCAAAGCAACTGCACAAAGAAGTGATCCCAGATATTATCACTGTCTGACTAATAAGTTAAATAAATATTTGGGAAGAATCTGGACCTTCTGATGGTTGTAACATTATGTCCTAGGTCAAGTCTCTTGGCTTTTCTAAATCTCAGTTTCTTCCTTTGTGAAATATGATGAAAGATTTCCACTAAAACCTAGTTGCTAGATCATTTCTAAGGTTTCTTCCCGCTTCAGAATTCTCTAATTGTCATTAATGTTCTTTGTTTTAGCAAGCAACATTTCCAATAAAGCCATAGGGTTACCTTCTAATATCTTACCATCTTTTTTAAAAATTCAGTTTGTCTCTATGGAAAGGAGTAGGCAAAGGGGAAAAGTGTGAAGATGCTCCATTGACTTCAGTTTGTGGTTGAGGCTCAGCTACATTTATCAAGCCTTAGAGTTGAAGGAATCTTAGACGTCACCCATTCTCACCTCCTCCTGTCCAGTGCAGAATCTTCCATGTCATTGCCTTTTTGAAAATTGAAAAAAATGTGTCAAGTCTTATTAAGATAATGTCACCCAACGTTATGATTCAGGGCTTCTCAAACCTCTGTAGTCTTGACATTTTGGGCTACATAATTCTTTTGCTGTGAGGGACTGTCCTGTGCATCGTAGGATGTTTAGCAGCGTCTCTGGCACCCATTAGATGCCAGTAGTAAGCGCCAGCTGTGACAACTAAAAATGTCTACAGACATTACCAAATGTTCCTGTGGGGGGCAGTCACCCCGCCTCAACTCCTGTTGAAACCAGTTGTAATTCAAACACAAGTCTTGTGGCCTGGTACAGAAATACCGTAACGTATTTCAGTAAATGGATGAATTGCTGTGTTGCTAACAGCTTTTTCACCACCTTCCAATGTGGCCATCCTCACACATTTACCTTTATGCTTCCTGCTTTCTCACTGCCTTGTTGCTATGCCTGGAAACGCTCAAGATGTTGCTGAAGGCTGACAAGCATTTCAGAGACAATATAATAATAATCATAATTGCTCGCATTAACCCAGCCCTTGATATGTGCCAGGCATGGTTCTAAATGCTTTCCGTGGATGATCTTACTTAATCTTCATTAAGAATCCCATGAGAGGTGCTTTGATTCTCCCCATTTTAGAGATGGGGAGGATCTTACAGAGGTAAACTCACATACTCATGTTATGTTCTCTCAACTGGGATGTGATGGAGCTGAGGTTGGTTGGTAGGTCGTCTGACTCCAGAATCCATATTCAGAACTCCCACAGGAAACTGCCTTCCACAAATGGGATCTTGATATTAACAGGTGGGAATGATCTAAAACAGTGGTTCTCAACCTTCCTAATGCCGCAACCCTTTAATACAGTTCCTCATGTTGTGGTGACCCCCAACCATAAAATGAGTTTCGTTGCTACTTCATAACTGTAATTTTGCTACTATTATGAATCGTAATGTAAATATCTGATATGCAGGATGGATTTAGGCGACCCCTGTGAAAGGGTTGTTCGACCCCCAAAGGGGTAGCGACCCATAGGTTGAGAACTGCTGACTAAAACATCATCTCATTCAATTATAGAATCATGTCTGCAACTAGAAAGGCTAGCAACTGTGAGGTTGGCAGTTGTGTTCAGTTGAAATAATGTGCTTTCTCCCTTTTGTTGTTCTTCTCTCTGTTATTCAGATTATTCAGAAATAGCTCCAAGGTGATAACCCTGGGGTCAGGGTTGGGTAAATTAGGGGAGAGGGGCTCAGGGGAAGGGAAGGATGGCGAAAAGGAGGAAACAATGAATGAGACGGTCCTTTTTCTATTAAGTCCTCACCATCATCTAAACGTTAGATGTCTCTTCTATCACTAAACTTAAAGTTGTCATATTTTTATCAACTCCTTCCTTCTGCGTTCTTCTTGGCCTGCCCTTTCATTCTTTCATTATGCATGCTGTTTTTATACTGTAGAGGCAGTAGGAAGTGGTGTATCTTTGGCAAAGGGGAAAAGAGGGATGTAAATGGCCATCAAATAGGCTTATTGATGGGTAAGTGACTCCTTACCAATGACTATTAAGTTTGAAAATCAAAGGCAAGCCCTAAGTTTGACTGTTGCCTCTAAGACACTATATCAACAAATCCACAGGTCTGGTGGCTGCCAGTGAGTAGAGCCTTGGTTTTGCAAGCTTCTGAGTTTGGTTATGACAGTGGTTCTCAAACGTTGGTGAGCATCAGAATAACCTACAGGATCTGTTAAAACACGCACTGCTGGTCCCCATTGCCAGAGCTTCTGATTCAGCGCTTCTGGGCTAGGGTCTGAGAACTGGACTTCTAACAGGTTCCCAGGTGAAGCTAAGGCTGCTGGTCCAGGACCAAAGTTTGAGAACCACATGGTTAAGACCTAAATAAGTAAAGCTCACAACCTGAGCTTATTTTTAAATAAAAGAGATCTTATGTTTAAGATAACTGAGCATTTGGATTTACGAGAAGCAATGGATAGAGCAAGATTAAAAGAACAATAAATGCTAAGGACTAGTTGACATCTCTCAGTAAGCATCTAAGCTTTGCCTCTCATTTTGAATTTCAGAAAAACCTTTGCTTTTTCTACTTTGGATTAATTTGATCTTAGATCTTTCCATTTTCTCTACCTCTACCCACCCCCCCACTGCTACCTCAATCTGAAAGATAAAATCCCTCATTAATCACAGTATAATCCAAATAAAAAGTCCTTTAATATCTT